CCCCGTCCCTGGGTTTGGCATGGCTGGCGGCTGTCCCACAGATTCTTGGACCCCAGGCTCTCCACTGGCTCTGTTGATCGTGACCATTGTGTTCCCTGCCAATAGGGAGGCTGGGTCCTTTCAGGAGCTCCATGGTGGGAGTGCAAGCGCCCCAGCCCTGGGGGACAGCCTCCATGCCGACTCAAGCTGGGACCCCGGGGAGCAGTTCCGCTCGGTGCTACAAGGTTGCCCTGAGTCGGAATCTACTTGATCACATGCAACAACTGCTCAGGCCTGTCTTACACGCTTGCTTCTTTATGGGCGCACGTGCACACACACACACACACACACACACACACACACACGCACTCTGATGACTAAGGCCTTGGAGGCATGGCGATAGAGTGCTTAGCTGCCAACTGAGCACTGGTTGGAAAGGGCACTGGTTGGAATCCCCACCTGCTCTGTGGGAGGGAGATGGGGCATCTGCTTCTGTAAAGACCTTCAGCCCTGGAGACCCTACTCCATCCTGTGGGGTCGAGGGTGTCAGAACCTGTTCCCCAGCAGTGGGCTTGACTTTTCATTTGGTGCCTGCCTAGGCCACCATCAATTTGCCCCACAGGCTGTGGGATTTAGCTTCTGGCTGTAGGCCATCTGGGAGCCATTCCTGGGAGACGTGGCTTGAGTAGTGACTCAGTGGGACATTACAGGCCTAGCAAGCTATTATCTGCCCTCGAGTGGACGCCGACTCACGGTGCCCTCTAGGGCGGGGGAGACCTGCCCTGTGAATTTCGGAGAGTGACTCTTTACAAGAGTAGCAATCCCCATCTGTCTCCTGAGGAGGAGCTAGTGGTTTTAAACTGCTGACCCTGTGGTTTGCACCCCAACACATCATTCCAACCCCGCCAGGGGTCCTCAGTACAGCCAACCCAAGGGCCAAAGGTCAACATCCCGCTCCCCCCCACACACACACACACACAAATAAACTTCTTGGACAACTCCTGTGGGGTTGCAATACGGTCCTGCCTCAAATGACCAGGACAGAAACCCCCCTCGATCCAGCTCCCTCTGTAGGATCTACTCTACAGGGGCAAGAGCCCTGGCAAGAGCAGACAGAAGCTCCCCCACGTTCACCAGAAGCTGGAGGCTGCCCGGGGCCCAGCAGAGTGCCGGGCATCATCAGCTAACCGGCAGTGAGTGTGGAAACCAGGAAACCCCTCGGGCACCAGTGGGCCCGCAGGACGCTGTGGTCAGTGAAGCTGGTGGATCTCAAACGGACCGTGAGGAAGAAAACCAAGGCAAAGCTTTACAGACCAAAAGGAACAGACCCTGGAGGTCCCCAAGGGAGGGTGGGAGAAGCAGCACCAGCTGGGAGGGTGGCAGGTGTCCTCGGTGTTGGGTCCGGTGAAAGGGGCGTGGACCCCCACCAGGGGGAGGAGGATTGAATACGGGGAGCAGGGGATGTTGCTGAGCTGTCTGAACTGCTGACTGCAGAGCAGATGGTCTGAAATGTAAGCCTGGCACTAATTCACAATAAAAATTCATTATGAGGAAACGAATCCGCTCAGGAAGGAGGGGGGCCACAAGGAGGCAGTAGCCGGTGTGTCCCTGAAGGAGGCCTGCAGCCGAGGGCATGAAGCCCAGGTACAGAGAGTAGCCTGCTCAGTGAATGTAAGCCCGAAACAAGGAAAACTCATTCATTTAACAAATAAAAACCCGAGACCACGATGTCTAAAAGAAATGCGGGCCGTGAGTGTGTAAGGCTCCCACGCGAGGCAAGCATAGGGCCCATTCCCAAACCCCCTCCAGGAAACCTGGGCCTCCAAAGAGAATGAGACCCTCATCTCCCTCAGGCCCAGAGGAAAGTGCAGAAAATGCCAAATGCTTGACAAGCTGTAAGAGATGGGGCCCTCACCCACTGCTGGTAAAACAGTGGGTAAACTCGACACCCGCTGTGGAAAGCGTTGTGGCGCCTCCTCCCCAAATGGGAACAGAAACACCAGGACCAGCCATCTCTCCTGGGGGACTCCCAGAGCAAACACGGAGCAAAACACCAGCAGAGAGAGATCCGTGCGGACCCGGGGTGCACGCAGCACTGTGCACAACAGCAAGAGCTGGGAACCCCCTCCGTGCCCGTCGATGGAGGGCTGGGCAGGTCAGCGCTGATGCACACAGACACTCCCACTGCGCACCGCTACAGAGTGGTGACGACGATGGGACCGTCCTCCACCTGCTGCCATGGACAAGGCACGGGGCTCTGTACGGAGAGAGCCAGCCGGTCCCACAAAGACAAATACTACATGACACCCCTGTTAGAGAGACTGAAGGAAAGGGCTTTCAGACGAAAAGAAACTAATAGACCACAGGGAGGAGGGGGAAAGAAAATTACAAATGAATGAACCAGGCCTCCCCCAGGCAGATAGGGGAGATGCCCCACACACGCTCAGTGTGGGGGGAGTGGTCTGCGCAGCGGGGCGGGTGCACCACGGACCTCACAGGAAACCCCAGAAGAGGCTGAGTGCTGTCAGCGGGGGCCCCTCTCTCCAGCCTGGGCTTGGGGCGCTGGCCCGTCCCTCCCTCGGACTTGCTCTGGGCGCCAGTGTCTCAGTGGCGCCCATGAAGGCGATGTAGATGAGGGAGGAGAAATGGGCAAAAAACTGGAGCATGAAGAATTTGACCGTGACCTTGCTCTGGAAATCTGAGAAGGTTCTGGGCCACTCTGGAAGAGATGCAGGCTGGTCCCAATCTGGCCAGTCCCCTGCTATATACTTGGAGAGATGTACAGCAGTACTACTGCCCCACAGGGCACTAGGCCTCAGTTCAGAGCACGGGGTGAGTTGGGTAAGGGGGCTTGGGGACTGCAGGAAGGGTCCACCCCACCTGCCCCAGAATCCTTGTCCAGGCCTCTGCCCAGACCCATCCCAGAAGCCTGTAGGGCCTGGACCAGGACAGGAGTGTGCTTACCATACTCACTGAGCTTCAGGGCCACACACCTGTTGATCTGCAAGTGGGTGGGGTGCAGAGGACAGGGCTCAGCCTGAACCTGGATGGTGCCTCACCCCCCCACCCCCTCTGCAGCCCACCTTGGTCATGATGACGATGGTCACATAGTGCACAAGGGCCCCCGAGACCACCACAGCGGTGGTCACATGCCCTGCCAGCAGGGGTGAGGCCCAGTGGCTGAAGAGGGCCGCAGCCAGGACACGGTAGACAACCAGGACGTGAGCCATGCCGATCATGACACAGATCTGGGGGGGCCGGGACCAGGTGAGGGGCGCTGGCGGTGCAGGGGCGACAGGAAGGGAGCGGCGCTGGAGGGCAGGGAGGAGTACCATGAAGAGAGACAGGAGGAGGACGACAGCGTTTCGCAGCAAGGAGTGCCATTGAAAGCTGCAGCGCCTCTGGGGGCAGCTCATCTTCATCATCATCATCTCCTCCTGCGGGATGCACACCAGACACTGCGCCTCAGCGCACACACGTGGCACCCACATGCTCAGACACGATGCACGCCTGGGTGTTGGCCATGGGCTTCTCACCTCATCCTGGTCCCAGCCACTCAGATTCCAGCGATGTGTCACACAGGCCTGCTTCCATTTCCAGACTTCCAGGAACACGGTGGCTGCAACCCAGGAGCAAGGAGCTGTCGTGACTGTCCCGGGTGGGTGTGGGAGTGGCCAGCGCCCTGTAGTGTGGGTGGGGGCTGAACACTCAGGACATCAGGGGCCCATGTCTCCCAAGGGCCGGCAGTGACTCACCCCAGAGAGCCATGAAGTTGGCAAACACCACGGTGCCCTCGTTGTCAAAGAGGTGGGTGAGCTGGGGGTGGGGCGGGGCGTCAGGTGCAGGCTGGGAGATTTCCAATACACCACACCCAGGAGGGGGACCAGGACCCCAGGCTGGTTCACTGGCATCCTGGCTGGGTCCCCCTCCCCCAGTGGCAGCCAACCTTGGCGAAGGTGCAGGTGTCTGAAAGCCGCTGGGCCTGGTGGAGGTGGTCTCCCTGGGGACACAGGATGATGTCGTGGGCCTCACAGATCTCCTTGCTGGTGGGCACAAGGGCAGAACTGGGGCCAGCTCCAGACACAGGCCCCTGACCCCCAGCCCCTCCTTGTGACCACAGCCTGGGCTCTAGGCCCCAGCCCAGCGCACCTGATTTGGCTGGCATTGAACAGGGCGAAGCCGCTCAGGAAGACTATGAGACCGGCCACTGCCGCGGGCACCAGCATCCACGTGTACCAGCTAAGCCAGGCGAAGTACAGTGCCACCTTCTCACCAAAGTAGTCCCTGAGGCGAGCAGGGACCGTCAGGACCCACCTCCTCAGGTGGGGGGATAGGTCAGGATGTGGGGGTCAAGGCCCACTTCCACAGGGGTGCGCACCAGGGGCAGAGGGATGGGACCAGGAATGTCAATATGTGGGAGAGAGGGGGTGGGGGTCTATCTACTGAAAGGCAGGTTCAATGTGGACACAGGTGTGTTACCTGATAGCATCGACCGGCTGCCTCTGGAACATATTTCTCCACTGGGCCCACTTCCTCAGTTTCTCCTCCGTCTTCAAGAGCTGTGGGCTCAGCCCACCTGCAGGTCCCTCTCCAGGCCCCTCCTGGGGGCCAGCCAGCATCGTGTGCAAGAAAAACCCGTCCTCAAAGACCCGGGCCTTCTTCAACTTACAGAAGTCCTCTGGGGGTTGCCGAGAGTGTGTGGGTCAGCACCGAGGCCCCCACAGGAAGCCGAAGTCCCCCACCCAAGGGCAGTCCCTCCTCACCGTCGTCAGTCTTTGCGCTGCCCTCGATGAAGGTGTAGATAAGGCGGATCCTGAGATTCAGGGGGCCAGGCTTAGGCCGGCTAGAGCCCAGCTGCCAGCCAGCATCCCCTCCCCAGCGGGGCCCTCCACCTGCCACCCCTGCGCTCTGCCCTCCCTGCGCTCCCCGCTCAGACTGCTCTCAGAACACCTGGCCAGCCTCTAACATGAGGCTGGGGTTCTCTCAGCCTCTCCCGACTGCCAGCCACACAGCTCCCGCCTTGGCGTTCCGTGTCCCCGGAAGGGACCCAGCCCATCTGTCCCTCAGAATCCCACCCCTGGGGTCCTATGTCCCCAGAGAAACCCTGGCCTGCCTGGCCTTCAGAACCTTGCCCTCCCCTGGAGGTCCCCAGCAACCTCATCAGGGACAGTCACCCCCAGAGAAGGGACACGGGGGGCTGAGATGGGCGGCCCGCTGCCCTGAGACCACCAGGAGCCTGTCAGGCAGGGGTAGCACCACCCACCGTGTGGTTTCTAGCGTGGAGTCCGTGGCGAGCTGTGCCTGGCGCGCAGGCCCCTCGGGCGCCATGAGCAGTTGGCAGTGCTGCAGGAAGGGCGTGTCCTTGGCTCGGATCGCGAAGTACTTCTTACGCTGGCACTGCATCTCCTGGGACGGGGCCGGGAGAGACCCTGGTCTTACCTCGGTACTTGCCCACCCACTCACCAGGCCACCTCCCCCAATGGCCTGGCCTCCAGGTAGCCCACCTTGTACTGGAAGCCCTTTCTGGCCAACTTCTCCAGCAGCTTGTGCAGGCGATCTTGCTTCTGGGGCTTCTGGTTGAGGCTGGTCACGAACACATAGTCCCAGGGCGGCCTGGTTGCGGTCAGGTGTGGAGAAGGGTGTTGGGCCTCCTCCGCTGGGCAGCGGGGCGCCCACAGGAGACAGGGAGATTGCATGGGTCCAGCGGAGGTGGGCCTTTCTCGGGAGTGGCCAGGACAGTCCTCACAAGAGTGAATGCTGATCAGGGGGATGCTGTCCTCTGGGGCGGCCCCACTGCTGTCTTCACCCTGGAGGGATGGGTGGAGGCAGACAGAGCGGGGGTTAGCTCGTGAGGGGGTGGGAAGAGGCCCTTCAATTCTTTATCCTGCAGGGGACCCTCAGGGTTAGAGTTCCCCTGCACCCCCACTAAAGGGGGAAGCAGGATACAAACACTCAGTCCAGGTGCAGGTGGGGTCCAGGCACAGCAGCAGAGAGCAAGCTGGACAAGCTCACAGGGAGCACCCAAGGAGCCTGCCCATCCAGGCCAGCTACCAGTGGGGCCGGCACCCAAGGGGAGGGGAACAGCCCTTCCTGAACAGCCAAGTCCCAGGCTGTTCTGCCCCCGCCAACGCCCTGCTGGGGTTGGAGTGCTGCCCACCAGGCGTGAGCTCTGTGGCCAGTGCAGATGACACATGCTGACCTGGACACGCACAGCTGCTGGACTAACCGCCAGATGCAGAGCCAGGTGTGTGAAAACATGCAGCGTGCCCCCTCTGAGCCTGGGTGGTGCCCGCACCCTGCAGGTCCAGGGGGTGGGAAATGAGGCAGCACCTCCAGGAGGGGACACAGGTCTCCCCATGCCTGCAACATGGGTGGGCGTGCCCTCCAGGGCGGGGCTGAGCCTCCTTGGAGCTGGGCTCAGTGGGCCGTTCCGGAGGCACAACCTGCGGACCGCAGTGAGCCTAGTGCCAGCCGACGGGCAGCGTCACCAAGACATGTGTGGGC